AATGGGGATAACCATAAATATTTTTCATATTTATAATTCTTCACACAAAGAATCTCATCATTCGCCGCTTACTTCAATTTCATACATCTACCATGTATTCATCATTATATGATATCAATTTGGTCTTACTTTCTTATCTATATGTCATATTTCAACTTGAGTTTATCCTGTTGTTACTATTTCTTATTTTTCTTATTTCTACTTACTATTTTGGCCAATCTAGTGCCGGCGATATAAGCTGAATGGTGAGATACGTGAGTGGGCCCAAAAGGTACTGGCGCACTTCCAGGCGGTCCAGGCATCTGCTACTAAGGAGGAGGTGAAATATTTGTTTAAAAGGATATTATTATTATTATTTATCTTTATGATCCTTTAAATTTGGTTATATAGTTTTACCTCAGTTTTTATTCTTTACTTGCATTATTTCGTATAGAGCAGAATTTAAGTTATATGGTAGATTTTAATGTACAAATAATCCAATGAAGTACTAAAATGCTTCTTGACTATATTTTAATTTCTGATTTATTTTCTACATAATGTTGTGCCAAAGATAATTTGCTCTTTTATAGTGTGGCTTCAGATTGCATTAGAGTAAATTTGAGCTTTAACAGGTAACTTTAGATCTACGAGTGTGTTAAAAATCCTTGATTCTTGGTTGTTTGAGGTCGCATTTTTCACTTCCTGGCTTAGTTGGATACGCCCTCCTTCGAATTGTTAAGCATTTACTCCTTTATTTTGGCGGAATGCTATAAGTGATTAATAGCCTTCCTTCAAAGTTCCTGTTTGCAATGCCGGCTTATTATTTTATTATATTTATGTACAACAATCTAGTGAGTGTACAAGGCAATATAAATTGCCACATTATCTTATGCTTCTTTACTAAAATTGCAATCTTAAAGATAAATTTGCCTGTATTGATATGTTATTAAGATCTTTGTACTATTTACTCATCCAATTTACGTTTCAAGTTTTAGAAAATTCCGCTGTAATATGATTTCAGAAAATGCATTACATGTTTGGTGTCATACTTCCTTGTGACTATATTTAATTTAAATAATAGTTTGGCTTCACTTTTTGTCCCTTGCTATTGTCAGTTGGCTGAAGCTCAACATCTCATAGTCGAGCATCACCGCGAGCTAGCCTCTTCTAAACCTATGAGTGATCCTGCGAAAACTCAGATGGCCTCCAGCATCCAGCAGAAGCCTGAGCAAATGAAAACTTCTCATGCCGAGATTGACTTAGATTCTGAGATAAGCCGACCTCTAGATTCAATTTCCAAAAATACCAAATCCTCTACGACCTTGACGTCTTTCTCTATTGGTGCTGATTCTAGCGCATTGCCATCGCTTTCTTCAGATTTGGATGCCAAAGTCAGCGATGTACTTTCTAGAATCAAAGCTACTGATGAGCGCGTGGCCGCCTTTGCAGCCTCTATTCCAAACAAATCTTCACGTGGTTCATCATCTAGTTCTCTGGTGACCGTCACTTCTGGACTGCGCTTGTCAGCAGACCCAGTCACTGGTGGGCTAATTCGGTCCCCCTCTGTTTCAACGTCTTTTGGGCCTCGCGCCCCTGTACTTAACACCAGTAGCTTGTCTCGTCTCATCAATTCTACAACTCCTTTCAGTCGACATCAATCATCTCGTGCTGTTATTACCACACCAGAGTCTAGTCTTCAAGGAGACGTTGAGCAACGCACCACAGCCGCGGCGGTGGCTGCGGCACAAGTTGTTGCTGAAGAGGAGGATGTAGAGACTGTGATAAAACGCGTTGACTTGGTTGCAGCGCACCAGGAACAAGCCCGACAGCATCAGCAAATGTTTATAAAACAGCATGACCATCATAATCACCATCGTCAACACCATCAGCCTCATTCCCAAATCCAGATGCTCACTTCTCGTTCGACAGGCGAGCTTCCAGTTAGTAATCTTGGGCAGAACTTCGATTTAGATGCTCGCATTACTCAGCTAGCTAGCGTTTTCCACACTTCACCTCCTACAACCACCGCTACTGTCGTTCCTTCTCTTACCAAAGCTGGCCTTCCCATCACACGAACGGTGTCTCTCTCTATATCCTCTATTTCCAGCCTTCCTCTTGACACAGCACCTCCCTCCCCCCCTCCTCCTCCTCCTCCTCCACCTCCACAATCTTCTCTTGTTGGACCTCGTGCTAGTAGCATTCTCCGACCAGGCGCCATCAATAGCAGTCATGGTCGATGCTTTTCTGCTCCGGGCCACTTCGAAGCATCTGGGTTTGCGTCTGGAGGAAGTAGCAATTTGCGTGATAGCCTGATGGCCAAACGTGGGGAAATTGCCGAAAAATTGAAGATGACTCAAGCTGCAGCCGCAGCATTAGCTGCTGCTTCTCGGACACAATCGACTTCACTCCCACCTCCACCTCCCCCACCACTACCTCTTTCTTATGCGTTGGCTTATGTCGCAGCAAAGAAGAAATCAGCCTCTCGCTCAGCTACAGTTTCTATGGCTCAGATTCATGAAAATGAAGAGGACGACGAGCTCTATTCTTTGCTTGGCGTATGAACGCTCTGCCTTTATCCCATCAGACGCCTTCTGATAGCCATACAGTTCTTAAATCCTGTTAGGAGCCCTTTGTTAGAGCTTGGACTGGCTATTTGAATATCTGCTTTGTAAAAGGCTCATAAAATGTAGATTGCTGTTCTATATGCTGATCGGGTCACTTAAGCTTGTCTAATATCCGCCTTCGAATATTGTTGGTAGACTAACTATTCATATGGAGATTTCTAATTAATTTCTTGTATATCTGTTTGTATGAATGTATCCTTGCATCATCTTGAACAATATTTATATTTGCGACTTTTTTGTCTGAATTTTCTCGAGCAGATAGATAAGCTTGTCTTTGTCCTTAATCTATATAGATTTTTAATCTCTGTATACATCAATATGATTTTCCTTCTGTAAACTTTGAAAAATTTCCATATCCTACGAGATCTTTTAGTGTTGATGTAATTAGAGGACCTTTTCTCCATAGTCATATCTTTTCTGGCACATATATCCTTACTATTAGGTTTTTCTTAGTCTTCATTTTACGCCATTCTTAGCGGTAAGATGTATTCGGTCTCCTCAAGATATCTCATATGCTTTGCTATGTCAATTAATTTTCAGAAGTGTCGTGGGCTCCGTGGACTCGTTATTTTTGTTGATCTATCTTATAATTGAATTCTCTTCTATTAAATATGCACTCGCCTCGACGACATATTTAAAATCATATTCCTAAGTCGTTTTCCGATGCTTTTAAATGTACATCTCCCTAAAAATTAATTTCCATCGTTTCTGACTTTTCTCGATCTAATCAAAAATACTATTTTCATCCTTACTCGTCCTTCATAGACTCACAGATGCACATACCAGAATTCACACATTCGTATGTGCATAAGTGCACATCTGAATCATTTCCTCACTTTTGCTTGCTGTTTTGAGTGTTAATTGATCATTTTCTCAACAGGCCCTTTCTTTTGGGGTGTGAGTGTACTCTCATTCATCGCCATTAATTTTTCAGCTATTGTCCGAAGCATACATTCATATAACTATATATACTCCCTATGGTATCTGTATGACCTGATCGATGGGTCGGCTTCCAGGACCTCTATTGATTCCCTGGCATATTTTCGAGATCTAATTAGGAAAGGAAAAATATTACGAATTTGTTCTACTTCTCGAAGAGCAACACCAGGAGAATATCCAAAGCGGCAGAAGAGATACACGGAGGGTCGGCGGTTGGTTGCATAGCCAGGGGCTTAGCGAGTTGTGTCTTGCTTCGATTTTGAAGGCCACCCAGTCTTCAAGTCTTCTATGCGGCGAGCAATAGAGCACTCGAGAACTCAAATTTGCTTCTTAATCTCTAACTAGGTGAGTTGCTTTTGCTGTCGATTAAAAATTTCCCTTTCGACAGCTTTCATGTTTTGTCTGATCCCACAGTTGCCTGAATTTACGGCTGCTTGTCCGTATCTAGCCATCATATTCCATTTTCATAATTTCAGCTCATCCTTCTCTCATGCAAATATACTTTGACGAGTAAACTAGTTTTGTTCTCTCACTTTTTATTCTTCAAAATTTAGCTCTATTGAATTTTCCTGTTTTCGTTATAAGCAGTTGTATTTGTTGCACTAAACCGGATTTTATTGGTTGGTTAAAATTTATTTTGCCTTCCTGATGCCTTCAATAAAATCAACAAATTTTTCGTCATTAAGAAACCTATTTTCCGGGAGGCCCCTAGCTTAGGATAGTACTTTTATTCCTGTAAATGATGACAATTTCGGGGCTTCATTTTTATGCTTTTTTGAACTTATATAATCTTTATTCATTCTCCTAGGTTCCTTGTCTCGCCGTCCCTAGCCAGCTTGTGGCTAGAATTATTTTATTTTTAACTCGCATTCATTATCGTATGCGATGGCGTCCTCAATCTTCTAATAGTCATCGGGTTTTTTACTTGATAATGCATACTTTTGCATACCAACTACAACATTTATTTATTTACCGCATTCTTTACTGTGTGGCGACTATTAACTTTGAGATTAGCATTGTCATTTTTAATGGATCCCTCTACTTATCCGTTTACTTTCGCTTTCCAAAATAGCATAATATTAGATATTGTGTTTGACAGTGTGGGTTTTATCCTATGTGACATGTTAAATTTTAGGTCACTGAGCTGTCACACACAGTTAATGCCAAAATATTTTGTCACTTCACATTTAGTTCTTCATACGAATTTTTTGCTATCACATTGATAGCCACGGATCCGATAACGTTCTCATGGTTCAAATTTGATTTATTATTTATTTGATAACCTGATAACGTTCTTAACGATCTCATCTTAAACTTGCGTCCCTTCAATTACAGTCTGGCATTTACTTGGCCAATCCCTTCTTCACATAGTCCCCCTTTCGGGATTTATATATGGCTGATGGTAGACAAATAGGTGGGCATCGATAAGTTGATATTTCCCCTATTGATTTAGTTAGAGCATGGTTTGAGTCATGCAAACAAATCATCGATTGCTTGGCTTATTTGCAAATTTTACCATTACTTAATGATATAACCTGCATCTTAAATATTCTAATTCGGATAACAATCTGGTTACATTCATAAGTTGGTTTCGAGACTACTAGTAAATCCTATATAAAAGTGGTATTCATCCCACTTTGTTTAAGTTCATGATGAACTGGTGGTAGAATTTTCCCGAAAGGATATAAGTAAGCCTGATGTTTCCATTGAATTTTGCATCTTGCTTACCTAAAGAAACTCTAATCCAGGGTGGACTGCTGCTTGGACCTTGCTTAGGTCTTATCAGCATCTCTAGTGGAACTCAATTCCGGTTTTCGTAAGGCAAATATTTTCCTTAATATTTTGGGATAGCTTTTTATTTCATTCCTGGAAAATACTCTGTTGACTAAACTTTAGTCCTATCTGTTTTATTGTTTTGCCTTTATTTTTATGCTATTTAACGTGTTTGTCTGACCTCTTTTTCGCAACTCGATTTGATCCACAGTGAGACCTTATGGAATGTACCTAGTCCTGGGTTTTTGCCATAGTATTTATGATTCTTTCCAGCATCGGATCGATGACTTGATACATTATGTATGTATATTTCTATAGCTAAAATTAACTTTAAACTATTCATTCATGGGTATTTACGGTTAGCAAGTCGACAACTTTTTTGTCATAAATATTTTTGATAGATCATTACATCGCGTCTTACATTAGGCCAAATTTTTGGCTCACTGACCTGAAAAGAGCTTCACTCCACCTAATAGGGGTGTTTTATTTCCATAATGTAATACAGTGATTCTTGTATTTTGGGGTTGCCTTAGTTGAATTAGGAACTTTCCCACTTGTCTAGTGCTTAATTAGAAATAGTCTTGTGTTTTCGTCCAGGTATCCTTAGGTATTCATTGACTTGCTAATGTTTGACTTGTTCATGCAAGCTGTGCTGTATCACATCTTCAGCTACAAGGTAACTAATATTGTAAATATTATAACACAAGATGTGGCCTCTAATTTTATTGCAGTCGATGTATATAAGTGGTCTGGCCTCGCAATTCGCTCGTGTTGCCAGGACGACCTAGTTGGACGCACCTTGTCCAAACCCATTTGTTATAGTAGTTATGACAATTCCCAGACGTTTAGCTGGCATCGTAGTCGTAACAGTTGCATTATATTTTATGCTCAAATATTTAATGCTAGTGACAAAGTTCGTCTCAAATTAGATGTTTTAGATGCCAGCATCTGAAATAAATAAATTTTTTTGTACATTGCGATTTTCTTTGTCTAAAGGAATTGGATCGAATTTCCTTCATTTGAATTTTAAAGTTTTTAGCATTTTTACAATATATAAAGCTTTAAGCGTTTTAAAGGATTTTTGTCACCAAAGCTACTTTCAATCATT